GTCCAGTCCATGTCGACCTCCCAATTGAGCCTCAGATGCACTAAGCCTGCCCACTTGCGTATTCATATCTCCGGCAACCACCACAATGTCTGAGCTTTTATCTCGTCGCAGCAGGGCATTCAGGGCGTCGTAAAACCTGTCTTTGACGGCGTCGGAGCTACAGTCGGTTGGGGCATAGGCAGACACGATAAACAGACATCTATCAACTTGCCGCTTGTGAGCGGCAGACAGAGCGACGAGCGGCCAGACAACAGTAGAACTCAATAGCGCATGGACATAGGGAACGGGCGTACAAATTCAAAGATGCTATCGGTATACGATGAAGTTCGAAAGGATTGGGCAAGTGACGGACCTGATACATAAATTGTTGCACTTGGCTATCTGGGGAGCATCGATGCTTCAACCTGATTTTATTGGCTCCACACACACCCCGGCATCTGCTTCAATCCAGTGATTTCAAGCTTGGAAGTTGGCCTCAAACACTCAGCTGTGTCTACATACTGTACAAATTCAATCCAGCACTAAGAGCAACTGGGAACTGGGCCGCAGACCCCAAAGCATTATTTGGATCATCGCCACATCATCAGCAGAGATAAGTACACGCTACTAATGTCATAATATACAACCACCGCAAAACATTTATGTAGTGTTCATACAAGGAGCGAACATCGAACCAAAACGACCGCTGTAGAAACCACTGTTAGATGGTATACCTAGTTCACTGGTTACATCCCGCTACCTCTAGGTTTTTCTGATAACAAGAGTCACATCCCATCACCAAAAATCTGCGGCACTATCTGCCCTTCTGGTAACCCAGACATGATGAAGATTCTGTCAGATTCCTAAGATCACGATTACTGGGACGACATATTCGAAACATAAGAGCAGTCTGCTTCGGAGAGCTCCTTCCGCTTGGCCAAGTGCTGGACCGATGTGGACCAGAGGCAGTCATTTAATGGCAGGGAAGCACAGAACTACTTACGTACTATAGCCCGCTATATAAATGTCATATAACTGGGAAACTCGTTTTGTTGGACTGCGTGTGCTGCTAGGGTAACTTGCCCGCTCCTCATTCAACAAGCCCGATCGGATGTCAGTAAAGTGATGTTATTGTGTCAGGGCTGTTGTCTTTAGTGTCCAAACTGGAACCCAGGTTCCGACAGAAAGAAGACTTTCAGTCCGGAGGATTAACAATGGCAATACTCAGCCATCGCCTGTTTGCTCCTAGTAATGTCGGTAAACGGCTCTGTAGACTACATTGGTATTTCGCTTCCTTAGAACACTTCCCCAAAACTACCTGTTCTGAAAGTGTTTGCTTTTCCTGAATAGTTCATTGGTGCTACTCAGTTGGGATGCAGACAGAGGTCAGATCTCGGATTCGAGGAAGAGCCTGAAGTTGCTGGACCAATCCTCAGCCTCAAACACATAATGTTAGGCGGAATTCCATGCAGATACGCTTTACGGCTTGCTGTTAGGTGCGGCTACGGCCGAGAAATCTGTCCCGCAATGTAATATGCACGCTATGGGAGCACCAGGGGATAGTGATTCTTAGAAGACAGGTGTTCGCGATAATTTCTGCGGATGGAAAACAGAAAAAAGCTCATAAGCCCATTAAGCGGGGTTGTACATCACCGATACTTACATATAAATCAATTAAACTGACGGACACCGTATACTGCACACTACACGCTGAGATATCAGTCCGCTCGCCAGTCCAACACCAAGGCGAGCTCTGATTGGCCGAAAGCCTGGTCTCAAGAGCCAATCATGACCCAGAATTCGCCGAATCCCAGTTGCCAATGTTGTATCCAAAAGGCGTCAGAAGCTCCAGAAAGTTGTTGCCACAAAATTCATAAACGATATGCTGTACATATGTTGTGGAGCTGGTTTTAGGAGTTAATACATGTACACCTCTGGTGTTAATTTTACGAACACGATAGCATAGAAATTTTAGACCGGGAGCTAAACTGAGTGGAGACCGTTGTTCCACACTGGGAGATGCAGTGGTTAGAAAAGATGCCACCTCCTTATCACAGGTGAAAAACTTCGGAGCCAGTCACAAAGGACATCAACGGTGGTGGAGAAACTCGATGCCGGCAAAATCCGAATGGACTGTTACTTTTCGGGCTGTGGCAAAGGCCACTGCGGCTGTCGGTTTTTAACATCCGGACAGCTCTGCAACAGAACAAGATTCCGAAATACCCAGTCCACGCCATGCATACTTGGTCAATAAACAGCTGGGAGTGAACCACATGGAGGTCCCCTATAAAAACGAGCGAGAAGCTGTCGACAAATTTGATTGGGAACTACCACCCAGTTGCCGAACAGACGGCACCCGGTAACAGTAGGGGGGAATTTGTTGCTGAACAGCTGAACAATTTTATAGGACAGGCTCCTGGACATCTGATTTCTTCCTCGGTGCGTTGTTATTTTTGGTCGCGTTAGGAACCATGTCGGAAGTCACCGGAAGTTGGTTTATGCTCAACCGAACGGATTGTAAACCGAGTGGTTTCTTTGCACTTTTTTAAATATTCATCCCTGTTTAATGGTTCTGGGGAACCCATTCACTCATTTTAATGGCCCCTATTTATCATCCATGTGTTCACCTAGATAAGCTGTCCTTGCGTTCTCTGGTCCGACCGTCTGCAATATACGACTGTCACCAGCTTTCAAATTTGCGAACCTCTACCATTTTGCCTCCGTAGGTAGCCTCTACTCGCATCACAGCGAATCGCATCTACTTAACGTACCACAATTCACTATGATCGTGCCCGGAGCATGATAACTACTCCCGTCTTGGGTGCGGCCAATGCGCATCCAAAAATGCATAACAGATAGGGACTGTTCCTGATGGTACCACGAAAACTGTGCTTGCCTTCCCGCGGCATCGGGCCTATCCCGTGGTTAGCCTTTCGCATTATGCCTCACTCGCATCCGCCAACTAGTACAGGACAAACCAGTCCACAAACCCCCCGATTTGTCCCTCAACACCGGTCTTTTTCTCCGTACTGATACCCATTATTCCACTCCCAGCAAGAGACGAAACTTTCCCTTGCTAATCCGACTCTTTGACAATATATCCCAAACCCACTGAAAAAACACTGACGTAATATTGCACCCCTGGAAAAGAGGATTAACCTGATGCCCCACCTAGTGACCAGGTCATCACAACGAACCATCAGCCAACATAGTACTAGCGGCCCTGCCTGTGCTGAAACAGACCCAGTCAGATAAGCGGTAAATCTCCCCATCTGTATCATTACGCGCCCCCTCTCAAGAACCTCTGCGCAATCCAATCCCACCTCACCCGTAACCCCGAGATAGTTTACACGGGCTGGTTCTTTAAGAAACACTTACGTCACCCCCTCGTTAAGTTAGCTTCCCAACACAACGAACCTATCTTGCTTCTTCTTCACCGGGTTTCGCAGAAACTTGCGGGCCAAAATTATTTCCATACCTCATGGATAGAAGCCAGACGTCGGAGATATTCTGAAAGGAGCTAGTGCTTATACCTGATGCCGAAAGAGTGACGTAAATTTATGGAATATGTGGAAAATGGAACATGCGGAGCAAACTAAAGTGGCGGCGCAGAACCGTGACAGTTGGGTCTGAAAGGTTTCAGCGAATTAGAACGAACTATTTCAGAGGCGTTTGGAGACAAGTGAACTACTTTTTCGTAGTTTGGAACAGGTCATAGACAGTGCCTAAAGATGGCGATTAAACATTATTTGATGTCGAACAAGTAGCAGTTCTGAGCGCAGTGGTAGAGAGCTTTAATCACCTTATACCACGCATGTTTGGAAAAGCTGAATGCGAAGGAGGACCTAGGACCTATGTCTTCCACTTCGGAAAGATTACCAATCAACAGTTCACTAAGAATGGGTTTCCCAAGAGGGATTTGGAATCGATTCGGATACCCCTTGAATCTAGAATAGCAAAAAAGACCTGGCGAAAATAGTGAGTGGGATAAAAAAATCCAAATGGGACCGAATGTCAGGCAAAATAGAGGACGTCATGGGCCCGGATTTTACATGCAATTTTGATATCATCACCAAGTGGAAAAGAGGATCCACGGAAGATTGAGTCAGTGACATTATCGACTTACAGCAAGAGCAGTAGGATGCAGGCACAATAACCTGGATAACTCCGCTCATTATGGAGGGCGGCACTGAAGGAATTTAAGAGGCAAAATGTGAAATAACTGAGTGTATTCTGAGTCCGTCTAGGTGCATTTTTCTTTGGGAGTAGGTGGTCGAACGACGACCGGGCTAGGCTTTGGGTAGGAAATTCCTCTGGGAGGCGACATGGTTCCTGAAGGTGAATTGTTGCAACCACTGCGGAAAGTTACCGGAATAATTCTGGTGCTTCAATTTTTTCCGAAATCAAATAAGACGCCCGGTCACGATCATTTGGAGACGTATCCGTAGCAACACTGTCGAACCTCACAAAACGTGCAGAAAATTATTGACAGCGGATTTCAAACTGGATGCGGCATGATTTTTAACAAACTCCAGGTCCATTCGTTCCCGGTCAAGAAGAGCTACACCGATGCAAAACAGAAGATTCCCTTATAATCGAGGGAACCACCACATCTGACCGATGAAGTGGGAGAGGACGCTTACGCTTGTGACATTATTGCGTGGTCACTGCATGAATCATCGAACTAAACTTCTACCTGGTGCCCTTGGAAATGCGCTCTTTAAGTTGAGGTCAGAATTCGGGGTCTCAGGGAAGCGAGTGTCTATGATACAACTGGGGTGGTTTTCGGAGGCGTGCTTTTCTAATGAAGCAAACAGCACGTCGAGTGGAAGGAAATAATGTGAACATGTTGCGGACCACAGTACCGCAAGCCCTAAGCAGTCATAATATATGCCAAACAGAGTCGAGCAGTTTTAACCCCGTGCTTCGTGCTCCACTGCGACGATTCTAGCATGACTTTGTGGAAGACTTTTCAATCGCTCTCTGGGTTTGTATAAATCTTCCATGTTTCCACAGAAGGCTGCCCTAAGCCTAACGCCCTTCGACATATCAGGGCGTACGGGCAGCGACCCAGGCACTGGTACCGGCGTGAAAAGTCAGGGCTTTCGGTGACAGCTTAAACTACGATGTCGGTCCATGTAGAGCACTTCTTTCAATTCTATAGCCAAGGAAGTTCAGTTTGACATTCATAGGAGGCTGGATAAAATTGTGCTTCACCGTGTCGGTGAGTACGACATAAATATTCTGCCTCACAGATGCATCTACTATCCTGCTTGTTGATTCGCGCTTCCTATTGCATCTAGATGGCCTTAAAAAGTTATCGCAATGAATGTTGCCTACCGACTTTGCTCACGTTTAGGAATCGCTGCTAAGATCAGTTGAAGCTGAGAATGAAATTTCAAACATTTTATTCTCTCAAATCTTCCTTGCAACCCTGATTTTACCAACGCCATTAAGATCATAGCCTAAGGATCCAACCGATGTATCACCTCGTTTTATACTGGCCACAAGATAACCTGTGGTAACTTGTTTGGCATGTTCAAGAAGCGGTCTAACGCATGCCTGTTAGAGCGTCCATGTGAGTAATATGGGAGAAGGTGCACCGAATCGTCCGAAGGACGGCGAATGCATTTTGAGCTGATTCCTCGTGATGCAGCGAGAAGGACAAGTTTCAAGAGGGCCAGATAGCATAATTATTTTTGACATCCACCTTCATGATGCGTTCCGGTCCTTCCTCACCTTGCATATCAAACGCATCCACTGAGTCTCCTCCAAATGACGTAATGACACTTTTCATCATTCAGAGGAAGGCACCAGTTCAACGACTGCTGCTTTTCAGCACCTGCATCCATTTGTAGGGCACTGGCATTAAAACGTTAGGCCTTCAGGCCGCCCGCAAAAAGTAGACATGAACTTACACGAAAATCTGGAAGGTCGTTGAAGTATTTCGGAATTAGCAGTGATCCCAACACGGAGCCTTGAGGGACTCTAACGGGGACCGGCGCAGGAGATGGGTAGGTCGAGCCTATTTTCACCAGGAATGATTTGTTTGAGAGAGACGCCTTGATACAGTGTAGGATTTTTCCTTCAATTCCGCATGACACTATTTTTTGCAGCAGCAGGACAAATGGGACCCCATCAAGAGCATTTGAGAAGTCGAAAAACGTGGTATCCGATATAGGTTTCTTGTTCTTGGCTTGAGTTAGGCTGTCCACAAACACGAGCATGTTCTTCACATAAGAACGGCTTGGGAGAAATCATGATGAACTGGAGATATCAAGTTTTTGGAAGTTAGGTGATCTAGGATAGCCCCCTTCAGAAGGCGTTCCATCACCTTGCATAGCACGCTACTGAGGCTTGTAAGCCTGGAGCTGGCGTGAAAACCGCAACCTTCCAAGCATAATGAAGGTGGCCTTCGTCAAGCGACAGACGAAAAACCATGTAAAAATGATTTGCCAATGTAAACAAGATTTTCTTCAGGATCCTCGGGGGGACATCGTCAGGCCCCGAACGCGAAAAATGGATTGATCTTGTGCAAGAGTTCAGGAGTGTCCACCTTGAAGACCATGTCGGTAGAGACCATTAGTAGGTGAGCCTTGCCAGGACTGGATATGACGAGGACGTCCGGGCTGAATATAGGCCCGCAAAGTGTTCTGTGTAAACTTCAGATACCATTGTTGGTTCATTCGTGGGTACCCCGTTCCTGTCCCTCAAGGGGAACG